CAGAGGGAGACCCGTGCTGTGACCGCAGCTCGCGGTGGACGCCTGGATGGACATGCACGTTGGCCGGGCACGCGGGCGCCCTAGAGGTGAACTGGCAGCTCGGGGCAGTGAGGTGCCCGCCACCGTGCTGGGTCTGTCAGCCACCAGCCGGGAGGTGCCCTGACTGCACCACAAAATGCTGCTCCCTAGGCCCCAGCTCTCCACACCCCCAGTCACGTCAGTCACGGGGTGTCCGGGGTACACTGCACACATGGCCCCCACTGCTGCGTCCGACCCTGAGGCGGAGTCTGGGGACCAAATTGGGGCCACTTTCAGACAACCAAGGGCCTTCCTAGCTTCTACCAAGATGGCCACCGGGCTGTGGGCTCGGCCAGCAGGAGAGGCCAACCCTCCCGCAGGCTTCCTCATGGCCGCGGAGGCAGGAAGACGTGAGGCCAGGACCCCGGCAGCCTGAGCGGCTACTGCCAGCCGCCCCCAGGGACGAGACCTCATGGACTGTGCCCACCACTGCAGGGCATGTGACCCACCCACACGTGGCCCAGAACGCACGTGGCCGCACATGCATGACCCCACATGCACTGCCCACACAAGCGTGGTCCGCACACACGGCTGTGCAGGCACAAGCCACAGGCAGGCATGGCTGTGCTCAAGGCCCACGGCTGCCCGACCACACGCCGGCCCCGTGCCTGACCCCCGCGTGAGGCCAGCGGGTGGGCTCCGTGCCTGGGGGTCGCACGCAGCCTCCTCTCCATCACTGTCAGCGCCCTACAAAAACTGATCCCTTCCAACCGCTGTGGCAAATTCTGGAATTTAAGAAAGTGTTAAGGTTTGGCAGAGGAAGAGAAAGAAGACTCTGGTTAAACTTGGATTTTGGGTAACGGCAAAGACATTTTTGATATAAGTACATCCCCAAATGTTTCGTTGTACCAAATTAAAAAAAAAAAATAGACTTTCTCTGAAGTCCAAGTTCAACAGCCGCTGTGCACCTTCCCGGGTTACCGGGCGACGCTGTCACCAGCAGCTCTGCCGCGCCAGACCCGAGACTGTTCACGCTCCTGTATCGTGGGTGAGGGCCGCCCACACTTTCAGGGGGCGTCGTTTCCTTGTAGGGCAGGACACTGTCTCGGCACCTGTCACCTGTGTCTAGCTGTGCCGCTGAGTGGCAGAGTGCAGCTGTCTGCAATACCCCGTTTCTCTCCCGGGAAGCATCATCACCACCCCCAGGACTCATCTGTGCACATTCATCCCACAACAGTCCCCAGGAAACGTCCCCCACACGGGGTGAGCCTTGCACCCCCAAGCACACACGCAGCATTTCCGTACCGCGTCTCGGGGGCTCCAGAGAGCACACTGGGGCCGATGCGCATCCTCCCTCCCCAAAAGGTGGCCGCTGCGGCCGTCAGAGCTACTGAGGGTTTTCACAATCTCAGCTGCTCTTTAAAAAAAAAAATAAAGCCTGTGTTCCATCATGAAGTATAATTTAAAAGAAGGACAAGACCTTAGTGCGCTCTCTCCAAAGAGCCCATGGCCCAATCCATTTCATCACTCACCACTTTCCAAGTATTCCGACAAGTTCTGGAATCCAGGAAAGTCGTGGCTCTGGCAGAGGAAGCCCATCAGCGTGCTCAAGCGAATCGCTCATCGTTCACACACTTATCTTATCCTTTTACATCACAGAAGACTCAGGTCAAACGTGTTAAAATAAAATAGAAAACTACACTACACCTCGTCACAAACTTTTCTTAAGATGCAATAAACTCTTTCGACCAACAGAAACAGAAGGTAGAAGCCGTCGGCGGGAACATGGAACAACACCCAGTGCTCACGTACGCTGCCTGGGGCGGTCTCTCTGGGCTGTGAGCACCGCCGGGCCTGGGGCAGCACTTTGCACAGAGGCAGCCACAGCCACGCCGGCCCCGTCAGAGCTGCCACATCCAGCGTGGCTTGTATCTTATCTTCACAGGAAGCACCCAGCCCTATTAAATCACAGCAAGTACTTAAACACAGCGACTCCCTCCATCCGGCCATGCTATTTTGTAACTTCAAACCTCGTCATCAAGGTGTCACCCGACCAGGATAACGTGGCCAGGCAAGCGGGCAAAGGGAGGCTCAGGAGAACATGCATGCAGCCACCCTAACGTCAAATGAGACCCCAAGCAGAGAACTGACCTTGGAGTGGACACTGCTCGCTGGGCCCCAGAGGCCGCCATCCACAGGCCAGAGGCGGACGACTTCGTAGGCCTCTCCTCGGTCGCTCTCCGGGGCCTCTCGCGGGGAAGGTGCAAACGTGCTGGCCGGGTTCGCCCCTGCAGCAGAGAGAAGACAGCCGGTTCTTCCACCTGATCGGCAGACGCTGGTACCAGAGTCTATGGCGACACGGCCCGAGGAACACCCTGCTCGATGAAATCAGTCACCGTGAACATGGAAACGTTCTCCATCGGGCCGAACAAGGCCAGGACTTAAGAAAACATATCGTTCCGTCCCCCGTCCAGGACCACAGCTCTCGGTGACGCTGTAAAGGATGGATTAATTCTTTGCTTAAGATCAGCTCTATTAAAAGTCTCAAGGCTTTAGCTGAATTAAGACTAAATCCATTTACCTAAGTCCCAGCGAATCTGTTACACTCAATGCCAATTCTCTCAGTACTTGTGGAGGCCAATTTTACATGCCCCGGGGGCTGATTTGATAGACAAAATTAATTTGCCAAGTTCGTACCGACTAGACTGGTTTCTGGAGAAAAGACTGTCCCTCAGTGAAGCCGACCCTCCTTTCGGGGTCCTGCCTCTGGAAGCCGTGCACGGCCACACGGGCTCAGCGGTGCCTCACTGCCGTCAACATCCCCAGGGAAGTGTGACACTTTTCTCTCTGGAAACAGCGTCACGCTGCCACAAAGTGGGGGCGTCCCTGGGCCTGCGCGCAGCCCCCGCGTGTCACACCCACTCTCGGGGTGGCCACAGGTCGCCGCTCAAGGTGAGGACGGGAACGGACTCTCTCGCGTCATTCCCATTTTTCCAGGCGGGACTCGTACTGCTCAGACCTGGGTCATTGTAGCGCAGTTTGAAGTTTCTGAGAAGTTCACATTTATGGGCACGGATGGTATTGAAATTATAATCCCAGACATTTTACAGGGCCCAGCACGCTTTCACACCCACGCCGGCTCGCATCTCGAGGAGGAAGTCTGCAGTGACATTCCGGTGCCCAAGGTGCTCCTCGAGGATTCACTGTCCGACGCGGCCTCTCTGGAGAATTCTCAACCCGGCCAAAAGCACTGAAAAGCCCCGTCCTGAAGGCCCAGGGAGCGGGGGTCAGGATGAGGGTGAGACTATGGGGGGCCGAGGGGAGGGAGCGGCGAAGGGAAGCCGGCGGAGCGGGAGAGCGGGTCCGCGGTGCTCAGCCTTCAGCGTGAACCCGTGTTCGGGACAAGACGCCTCCATGGCGCAGGCAGCGGCCTGGTCCAGGCAGACATCGGTGGGGGGCCGGTGGGGGATGGGGGATGCGAACCCCTGGGGGTGGGGTCCCTCCCCAGGATGCAGAGGGGCAACTGCTGGCGGCTGAGACCTGAGCGCACGGGCCTCACCGGCGGCTGGGCCCCGCGCCCTGGCGTGCACAGGGGGCTCAGAGCCAGACGTGGCCAGGCCAGCACCCAGCCCCCCACGGGTCAGCTGCGGGCCCCTGGCCCAGGGGCTCGACCCGGCTCCCTAACTCCTGCTGGCTGCCCGCCCGCGCCAGCACCCCCCAGGCCGGGCCTTCCACGCCAGAGGGCCACCCCCACCTGGCCACGGAGCCCTCACTCTGGTCCTCGCCGCCTCCACTGACCGGACCCCCTCACTCTCCCACCTCGGGAATCTGAGAGGGACACACAGAGCTGCTCTCGGGATTTACACTCCTGGACTCGGGGAGCAGGCGCGGGAAGGCCAGAGCGTGCCGAACGCCAAAGGCACTACGCAGCAGGGCGACCCCGCAAGTGCTCTGTGCATCAAGGGCGCTTTCAAAATTAAGAGTGAAGAGAGAAGCGGGGTGCGTGAGAGCGGCAGGGAGGCGGCCCTCCGAGGCAGGCCGGGAGGCCGGAGGCCTTCCTTTGCTGACATGGGGCACGGCGAGCTGGCACCTGGGACGGCCCCACCGCCCCACACGCCGCCCGGGCGGCCAGCGCGGTCTTCCTGTGAAGCGAGCCCAAGGCGGGGAGGCCCGAGGGAGACGAGGAGGCCGAGAGCTTCGCCAAAATCCGGGTTTCCCTCTCAGGCCCCTGGTGGATTCACACGCGAGCCCGAGCCACGACACAGCGCCTACCAGCAGGACAGCGTGCGACGACCCCGCTGTCCAGAGCCGGCGTGTCGCTCGAGTCGGGTCAAGAAGACCTGAAATAGCAGCGGTTATGGACTAAGCACTGGAGTCATCTGAGCTTCCCTGCACGAGTGGAAACCAAGCCATGTGCCAACAGTTAGCACGAATCTGGTGAAATGGTCCCTAGGTCTGTTAACACAGCGAGCGCAAGCAT